GTCCTGCTCCACAGCTACGGCAGCGTGTAGCACCCAAGAGCTTGTGCATGGTCCTGCACAGACAGAGGTGGGCAGGGGCTCTCGTGGCCCCCCCGGGGCAGAAGCAGCCCCCGAGCCAAGGAGGCGAGCACCTGGCTGTCCTCAGCAAAGGCGGCTGGAGAACGATGCCTGGAGGGGGCAAGGAGGCTCAGTTTTGGGTGCCCTCCAGCCTGAGCCGCAGGACATTGCCCTGCCAAGAGGGAGCAGGCTGGTGGGTCTGGGGGTGCTTCTGGGCAAACTGCTTCTTGTAGAGAGCGCTGCTGTACTGCAGCTCCGGGGTCACCAGCCGCCGGCACATGAGCTCCGTCTCCTTATCCAAGCCCTGTTTGAGGTTATAGCCCAAGATCTTCGCGTTGCCGTGCTGCAGTGGCCGCAGGGAAGAGTCCTTGATGTCCTTTGGGGACACGCTGCCCATCCCTTGCAGGCAGGTCCTCGCCAGCTCTGCCCGCCTCTCCCGAAGCGCCTTTACTTCCTGCTGCATGCGCTCCCTGCCAATGTCTCGGTCAATCCTTTCCCAGAAGGTCCTATTGAAGTGGGTGTAGATTTCCCAGTCCAGCCTGTTCCAGTCCTTGATCTTCTCCACAATGGTGTTCGAGAGGGAGGACTTGGTGCTGCTGTCCCTGATGTTGAGTGGGAAGGAGACGATGCTGTCCAGGTCCCAGCACAGCATCTCCTTCAGCAGCACCATGGACTCATCAAAGTACTCTGAGATGAGGAGCAAGTCAAAGGACGCCTCGATGGCCTTCAGCATGAGTTGCACCCGCTTGACTGAGACCTCTCCGTCGGGGTTGAAGCCAAAGTCGAATGTCATGAGGTTCCTGGCGTAGTGGCTGTCGCTGTCTGCGGGGTTGTAGTAGTGGTAGGGCTGGCTGAGGAACTCCTCCAGGCTGCGGGCACGGGAGAAAGCCGACGTGCCCTTGTAGTATGCGAAGGAGGACTCCATGAGCTGCACAGGGTTCCTCAGGATGGAGAAGTAGATGGCTGAGTGGGATACCACTTTCTGCACCTGCAGAGAAGAAAAAGGTGGTTTTAAAGGTGAGGTAGGGAGAAGGGACCTGCTCGCTCCCAATTCTGTGCTCTGCTGAAAAGCAGAAATACTTGCTGGGGTTGGAGATGGTGGGTGGTGGGGAGGGTTTCAGGGTGCAGCTCATCAAAGGAGCATTTGTGTCAGCTGTAGGGAGCCCCAGAAGAGGTACATGGGGAGGGCGGAGACCAAAGCTCCCCACTATGTGCTGCCACAGCTGGGTGGCCTGTCCGGGCTTGAGATACGTCCTATTTCCTTGCTGTTCCCCATATCTGCATGTCCTCAAGTGGCATCCAGAAGGGTGGATGCTGGACACAGCTGACCTGAGCTGATGTGCTTAAGGCATTCTCCTCTTGCAGTTGGTACCCTCTGGGCCTGTCCAGGGAACGGGACATCTCCAAGGGCCCACCAGACAGTTGGGCCTAGATGACAGTTGCTGACTGCTGCAGACACTGTCCACTGGCTTGTCGCAGGTCACAGCACAACGATTCATCAAACCTGTTTACAGAAGCTCTCAGGAGATGCCCATAACATGCAAGGTACTTGAGGGAAACCTTGTCCCTCTTTAGCTTCATCCCTGAAGAGTTTACGTGCTCTAAGGGTGTCCCACCTTGCTCCCCAGGAGTCCCTGTCCCCCCCCGCCTATTTGCCCCTCCCAAGGCATTGCGGCTTTGCCTGTACCTCCGACTGCAGGAATCGCATGTGGTGGCAGAGGATGTTGAACCGCCGAGGGCTCCTGGGGGAGAAGCCCTGCACGAACCTCGCCAAGAAGTGTTGCGGGTAGAAGAGCTGGTTGCCGCCCCCAATGGGGAATGCGAAGGTGAGGTTGTGCGTCTCGCCGAAGCGGAAGAGGATGTTCATGACAGTGCTGCTGGCGCTTTTGTGGACTTTGAGGAAAACAATGTCAGTCTTGGGCTCACACGTCTCCTCTTGAGAGGAGACCCGTTTGGCCTTCTGGACTTCTCCAAGAGTCATCTCGTCACCCCTAGAGGCTTCCATCCAGCTTGGGAAAAATCTTCTCTCCAGGTCTGTCTTGTAAAAGTCCTCTGCTTGTGGAGGTTGAGCTGAATTTGGCAAAGACTGTTTAACCAAGCTGCCCCACCGATGCTGGGGGGAACCTATGGTTTGAGGCTGAGACTGGCTCTGTGCCACCACCTGCATCGTTCTTGGTGGTGATGTTCTCCTGGGATCCTCTGCGGTCATCCTGTTTGCAAAGATTATGAACTTGCTGGAGACAGCCTCAGCATCTCCTGGAACTGCGGAGATCGTCCCAGGAAGACTTGGAGAAGGACCCTCTCTGGTTGCTTTTCTCAGGCCAGGAGGCTGGGATTTCAGCCTCGTGGATGAAGAATGGACTTCCACCTTCTTGCTGCTGTCCACAGGCTGCCACGTCCAGTGCTCCTCTTGTCTGTCTGGGCCGCTTTCCAGCGGGGTCCCCTGGCTGA